AGAGAGAGAGAGAGAGTGTGTGTGTGTGTGAGAAAGACAGCGAGAGTGTGTGTGTGTGAGAAAGACAGTGAGAGTGTGTGTGTTTGAGAGAAAGACAGCGAGAGTGTGTGTGTGTGTGTGAAAGACAGCGAGAGTGTGTGTGTGTGAGAGAGAGAGAGAGACAGCGAGAGAGTGTGTGTGTGAGAGAGAGAGAGAGACAGCGAGAGAGTGTGTGTGTGAGAGAGAGAGAGAGACAGCGAGAGAGTGTGTGTGTGAGAGAGAGAGAGAGACAGCGAGAGAGTGTGTGTGTGAGAGAGAGAGAGAGACAGCGAGAGAGTGTGTGTGTGAGAGAGAGAGAGAGACAGCGAGAGAGTGTGTGTGTGAGAGAGAGAGAGAGACAGCGAGAGAGTGTGTGTGTGAGAGAGAGAGAGAGACAGCGAGAGAGTGTGTGTGTGAGAGAGAGAGAGAGACAGCGAGAGAGTGTGTGTGTGAGAGAGAGAGAGAGACAGCGAGAGAGTGTGTGTGTGAGAGAGAGAGAGAAAGACAGCGAGAGTGTGTGTGTGTGAGAGAGAGAAAGACAGAGTGTGTGTGTGTGTGTGAGCGAGAAAGACAGAGAGTGTGTGTGTGTGTTTGTGTGAGCGAGAAAGACAGAGAGTCGAGTGTGTGTGTGTGAGAAAGACAGAGAGAGTGTGTGTGTGTGAGAAAGACAGAGAGAGTGTATGTGTGTGTGAGAAAGACAGCGAGAGAGAGTGTGTGTGTGTGTGTGTGTGTGTGTGTGAGAGAGGAGTGCAGAAAGAGGTGTGCGTGTAGTTAGAAACAGACAAATACAAGAAGCCACAGCACAAGTGCATGAGAGAGAGAGAGAGAGAGAGAGAGAAAGAGAGATAGTGTGTGAGTGTGTTGTGGAGAAGTAGCAGAGAGAGAGAGAGAGAGAAGAGAGAAGTGTGTTAAATCACATAAGCTTCATCACAGTGAACTCTGAGCACATGCAGAGAGAGAGAGACAGAGACAGAAGAGAGAAGAGACAAACGCTTAAATTCTCTGAAAACAGAGAGGGAAATCAAGAACATTTTCGTTAATCAAAATAAAGCTGAAATAAACATTTAAAGAGATAGTTCACCCAAAAATGAAAATTAGCCCATGATTTACTCACCCTCAAGCCATCCTAGGTGTGTATGACTTTCTTCTTTCAGACGAATACAGAGTTATATTAAAAATTGTCCTGGCTATTCCAAGCTTTATAATGGCAGTGAATGGGTGTTATTTTTCAATAGTCCCAAATAAAGTGCATCCATCCATCATAAAAAGTGTCCCACACGGCTCCGGGGGGGGAATAAAGGCCTTCTGAAGGGAATCAATGCGTTTTTGTAAGAAAAATATCCATATTTAAAACTTTATAAACTGTAATCTTTACGAGTCGTATGAGAAGTACAAAACAAAGATTTGTAAAGAAAAATGGAGGATTTTGATATAAGCCAAGAGGAGACTGGTTTTCCTTTGCCCCTGTAAACAAACATCGGTTCTCATGAGACTAGCATATTCTCACCGGATCTTACGCTACATCTTACGTCACCCGCCAGAACGAACGCGCGTACGACAGTTAGCGTAAGGTAGAGATTACGGTTTATAAAGTTTTAAATATGGATATTTTTCTTACAAGAACGCATGGATTCGCGTCAGGAGGCCTTTATTCACCCCCCTGGAGCCGTGTGAGACACTTATACTATGGATGGATGCGCTTTATTTGACGTCTTTTGGACTATTGATAAATAACACCCATTCACTGCCATTATAAAGCTTGGAAGAGCCAGGGCGTTTTTTTAATATAACTCCTATTGGATTCGTCTGATAGAAGGAAGTCTTTTACACCTAGGATGGCTTGAGAGTAAATCATGGGGTCATTTTAATTTTTGGGTGAACCATCCCTTTAAATATAAACACTGGATGATAAATGTGATTTTTATCACTGTATGATATTTTGCTCGAGAACTATGATCATCATGTAATATGGTGGCGAGTGTTTACCTTTCCTCACCACCTGAACGGGCGACTGCAGCGCCTCCACAGGCGGAGCTTCTACAGACTCCTCCCCCCATTGGCTGGGCCTCTCACCGGGGGTGGGATCAGATAACTCCGCCCCCGCTCCGTCTGTCAAAGGACTCCTTTCATTGGCTGTCTCATTTGTGGGTGTGTCATCTGAATCCTGACTCCAGCCGTCCTCAAGGTCTCTGAAGATCAGCTGCCGGAGAGTTTCCACTGAGAAAAACATTTTAAGTAGCAAGTAAACAAGATATTGAAGAGCAGAACTGTGCTGCATGTTTTGTTTTATAAGCTATATGTGCAAAATAGCTGGTACTGACTTTTGGATGGACAGAAATTCTCTTCACAAAACTATTTTAGCTCCTATCTTCAAGTGTTTTCAGAGTTATTCCAGTATTATTTATATACTATTTATTAATATTTAGAATGACATTTTATTTTTAGTTGAGGTTTTAGTCATTTTTATGCGCTATAATTAGCCCTTTTTTAAATAATATTTAGCTTTGACATTTTTTTCAGTTCTAGTCATTTTAGTACTTCAACAAACTTATTTTAAGTTAGTTGGCAAGACAACATTTCACATTTTCGTTTAAGTTTTTTTAAGTTTGTCCATTTAATGTGTACATTTAGTACTTTAAGCTTTATTTCAGTTAACAAAAACATATTTATAATTGTTTTTTTGTTAACATTTATTATTTTAGTTTATTTGGCTTCATAACAGGTGTTAGGTTCCAGCTTTCTTGGCTCTTTTCATGGTGAGAAACGAGTTGAAACAGCATAAAAGAGCAATGTAGAAACCTATATAAGGCTTCCTTCAGACAAAAACTTGCTTTAGATGAAAACATTTGATTCAGGGTTCACTCTTAATTTCAGATTGACATACCAGGGTTTCAAATTCAAGACTTTTTAAGACCTGCACAAATAAAATTAATACCATATGAGCGGGGTAGGGCAATGTCTATAGTAACATATTAAACTGTAAAGCGTGATTTACAGTTCAGATACAGGTTTTCAAAAAAAAAAAAATAATAATTTTTTATAAAATGACAAACTTCACATTTCAGCCTTTAAACCATTTATAAGAAAATGGATCAAAGTATCAATTATTATATTAACTTAATTATTATATTAATTAAAAAAAACATTGATTTTCGCTTTGGTCTGAAAAAAAAACAGCAGACGGGCTTATTGAAAATGCAAATGCATTCTCTCCCAGCAGGTGGCGCGTTTGGAGCAGCAGAAATATAGTGAATACAGCGGTTTCCCTGACTTTGAAATGTGCAGCGCTCATGTTTATATGTGTCCCTGGAGCACAAAAGCAGTCTTAAGTCACTGGGGTATATTTGCAGCAATAGCCAACAATACATTTTATGGGTCAAAATTATAGATTTTTCTTTTATGCCAAAAATTATTAGGATATTAAGTAAAGATCATGATCCATGAAGATATTTTGTAATTTTCCTACGATTTTCTCAATATTTTGATTTCAGATTCCAGATTTTCAAATAGTTGTATCTCGGCCAAATATTGTCCTATCCTAACAAACCATACATCAATGGAAAGCTTATTCAGCTTATTCAGATTATGCATAAATCTCAATTTTGAAAAATTGACACTTATGACTGGTTTTGTGGTCCAGGGTCACATTTAATGAAGTCACACATTAAGCCGTATAAATTCTCGTCTTCCCGTCCCCAAATTTAAGACCTCCTGAAATCATAATTAAGCCTTTCTTATACCATTTAAGAGTTTTTATGGCCTTAAATGTGACAACTAAATGTACGACTTTTCAAGGACCTGCGGAAACCCTGCATAAAACAAAACAAAGCAACAAACTAGCAAGCGAACACAATGGCTCACCGTCCTGAAGAGCAGCTTCGGCGACAGCAGCTTTGGTTCGGAGGAACCCGACTCTATCCTGATGACGGCGTGCGTCCGATCCGTCTGTCGGTGTGAGAGCACTTTCATCATCACTGGCAGAGTCCCGCTCCAGACACACGGACGACTCCGACGCATCTGACAGACACGGGGGAAATGATGTCATGCTCGTCTTATGCATCTTACTTCTGCAATGTGACATTTCTGAGTCGAACAGTACAGGAAACGTCTGAGCTTAGTTGTGCAAATTAATGCATTTTGATGAAATATTACAGAAACCTTCAGATTAATGTGCACTGCTGAAATGCGCACAGTAAGAATGGGAACAATTACAAGAAAACCACAATGTCTAAAATCTTCAGACAGTCTTTCAACATTACTGTGTAAAATAACTGTTCATTTCAGCAGTTTTGCACACGTTTCATTCGCTGTTTTTATTAAATGTGTATAAATGCATTATGTCTGACAGACACGGGGGAAATGATGTCATGCTCGTCTTATGCATCTTACTTCTGCAATGTGACATTTCTGAGTCGAACAGTACAGGAAACGTCTGAGCTTAGTTGTGCAAATTAATGCATTTTGATGAAATATTACAGAAACCTTCAGATTAATGTGCACTGCTGAAATGCGCACAGTAAGAATGGGAACAATTACAAGAAAACCACAATGTCTAAAATCTTCAGACAGTCTTTCAACATTACTGTGTAAAATAACTTCATTTCAGCAGTTTTGCACACATTTCATTCGCTGTTTTTATTAAATGTGTATAAATGCATTATGTACTACTGTTCGGAAGTGTTTATAAAAGTCTCTTCTGCTCACCAAGGCTGCAAAAATACAGTAAAATTGTGAAATATTTTTACAATTTAAAGTAACTTTTTTTTTGTGAATCTCTGTTAAACTGTAATTTATTTCTGTGATCAAAGCTGAATTTTCAGCATCATTACTCCAGTCTTCAGAGTCACATGATCTTCAGAAATCATTCTGATATGCTGATCTGCTGCTCCAGAAACATTTCTGATTATTATCAATGCTGAAAACACACTGATTCTCATTTCTGTGGAAACGGTGATACATTTTATTTTCCAACATTCTTTAACGAATAGAATGTTCAAAAGAGCAGCATTTATTTGAAACGTGCAATGTTCTAAATGTCACTTTTGATCTATTTAATGCATCCTTGATGGAAAAAAGTCAAATCATATCGACAGCAAACATTTGAACGGCAGTATATATGCTGGCATTATATTTGTAATTCCCCCCTCATATGTCGACCACTTCACACACGGCTCTTACCTAACGGATTGGCAGATGAACGTGCATCTGAGGACCTGAAACAGAGCAGACGTAAGTTGATCAGAAACTAGTCATGATATGGCTGTAGTTTTCAGTGTTTGTGTGCTGATGGTGTGACGTACGGCACTGGCGATCCTTGTTTGCTCGATCCCGCTCTTCAACATTACTGTGTAAAATAACTGTTCATTTCAGCAGTTTTGCACACGTTTCATTCGCTGTTTTTATTAAATGTGTATAAATGCATTATGTACTACTGTTCGGAAGTGTTTATAAAAGTCTCTTCTGCTCACCAAGGCTGCAAGAATACAGTAAAATTGTGAAATATTTTTACAATTTAAAGTAACTTTTTTTTTGTGAATCTCTGTTAAACTGTAATTTATTTCTGTGATCAAAGCTGAATTTTCAGCATCATTACTCCAGTCTTCAGAGTCACATGATCTTCAGAAATCATTCTGATATGCTGATCCGCTGCTCCAGAAACATTTCTGATTATTATCAATGCTGAAAACACACTGATTCTCATTTCTGTGGAAACGGTGATACATTTTATTTTCCAAAATTCTTTAACGAATAGAATGTTCAAAAGAGCAGCATTTATTTGAAACGTGCAATGTTCTAAATGTCACTTTTGATCTATTTAATGCATCCTTGATGGAAAAAAGTCAAATCATATCGACAGCAAACATTTGAACGGCAGTATATATGCTGGCATTATATTTGTAATTCCCCCCTCATATGTCGACCACTTCACACACGGCTCTTACCTAACGGATTGGCAGATGAACGTGCATCTGAGGACCTGAAACAGAGCAGACGTAAGTTGATCAGAAACTAGTCATGATATGGCTGTAGTTTTCAGTGTTTGTGTGCTGATGGTGTGACGTACGGCACTGGCGATCCTTGTTTGCTCGATCCCGCTCCTCGAGTCGCTGCAGCGATAGTCTTTTCCAGCAGATCTTTCCAACTGTGAGGAAACATGAAGGAATAAATAAAGCTCCCTGATCATTCACACAAGCAGCCAATGAGGACCGAGCGGAGACTCACGTGTTCTTCTCTGACGACGTCCCGGCCACCAGCTCATAGATCTGACTCTCTGACGTGCTGATCACGTACAGCGCTTTATTGTCTGCAAGACGGAAACGAGTTCGTTACATATTTTAAAGCAACTCTGAATCTTCTCCATCCTTATTATTTAAAGTACGCTCCGTGAACGTTTCCACTCTCACCTGTCGCAACCAAGCGGACGAGGGCAGAGTCGAGGCGAAGGATGGGGCAGAAGGGTGTGCTGATGGTGTGACGTACGGCACTGGCGATCCTTGTTTGCTCGATCCCGCTCCTCGAGTCGCTGCAGCGATAGTCTTTTCCAGCAGATCTTTCCAACTGTGAGGAAACATGAAGGAATAAATAAAGCTCCCTGATCATTCACACAAGCAGCCAATGAGGACCGAGCGGAGACTCACGTGTTCTTCTCTGACGACGTCCCGGCCACCAGCTCATAGATCTGACTCTCTGACGTGCTGATCACGTACAGAGCTTTATTGTCTGCAAGACGGAAACGAGTTCGTTACATATTTTAAAGCAACTCTGAATCTTCTCCATCCTTTTTATTTAAAGTACGCTCCGTGAACGTTTCCACTCTCACCTGTCGCAACCAAGCGGACGAGGGCGGAGTCGAGGCGAAGGATGGGGCAGAAGGGGATCTTGAGGTCTGGAGCAGCGCCCAGCGAACGAGACGGACAGCGCAGGACGAGCCGCTCGTCTGCAGCCCTCTGAAGAAGCACCAGCAGATCCGAGAGCAGCAGCGCCTGCACCTCTGAGACATCCACACACGCTTTATTTCATGTCGACACGCTTCGAGCTCATCTATGTGCTATTATAGTAAACTAAAACCATAAAAACATTCCTTAACAAAAATAAATAAACGTTAACTGAAATAAAATAATAAAAAAACAACTTAAACTATTTTATTTCAGGTATTTCCCAAGGCAACATTTAGTTGAACTTGATGTACTAAAATAATTCAATCTAAAACAGAGATTTTATCAATACAAATTAATTATTAAACTAATTATTATATATTCATAAAAAATAATAGATTTTATTAATACAAATTTATAAAATGTATATAGACCTACTAAAAAAAAATACAAAACAACAAAATTACTAAAACATTTCCTACACTAAATGAAAACGAAAAATATAATTATATATTTAAATAAAATAAAAAAATAATTAAAAAATAATAATAATTTGAACTTTTAACAAATAATTTAAAATGCTTTAAGATATTTTAATATAATAAAATATAATTTAATATATTTTATATAAGAATATAATAATCAGGCATGTGATATGCTAAGGGCAAAAGAAGCAAATAATAACTAATCCTAACAAATATCATTTTTATTCTTATTTAAATAATAAAAAGTAAGCAAATCAATTAATATATATATATATATATATATATATTACT